CAGTGAATGGTTTTTGTACTGCTCCCATCTATTAGGCCATGCAGTATGTTCTCTAGGAGGAACACAAGGGACCAATATGGCACAGGTGTCCTAGCCTGGTCATAGGTTTTCCTCCTGCAGCTTTGCCTTTAGTGCCCTAACTGTAATTAAATAAATATTTTAAAAATATACAACTGGCTGCATAAGTGCCTAGAAGGAGACATATGCTGACAAAGCAGGGGAATTGCAGATGTGTCTGGCCTAACCTGTGTGCAGCCCAACCATAGCATCAATGCCAAAATAATAATTTAAAAATAAATAAAAAATATGAATTCATAAAAACAATAAAAAAAATTAAAAATGCCTCGGGCAACCCAGGCCAGGAAATGTCCACTAGATTATATAGGAGGGTTTGCTGAGCAAAGAGCTTGGACAAAGTGAGGGTCAGATTGCCAGACTTGGGGGTGGATATAGGGTATTTTGTGTTTTTTTTGCAGCTTCAGATGTCAGCTGATGCCAACTGCCATCTGGAGCTGCATTGCCCAGCCACTGTACAATATTTGTGGCTTATGTCTCTCATATAATATATTCTAATGTTTTTTTCAAGAAAAAAACTGCCCCGTCTCTCTTATATTGGGGACTAACTAAACTGCTTACATACTGCGCAGCCACTGATCAAAATGTGTGGCTATTGTCTCTCAGATAATATACTCTAATTTTGTATTGCAAGATAAAACCTGCTTTGTGGCTTTCTATTTGCTGCCTATTTAAGCACCCTCGTGCATGACACTATCCAGTTTCTATCAAACACATACCTGAAGTGTGTTTTTTTTTATATTTTGGGGATACAAGGATGGGAGGGGGTTTGGGGATTGTGGGGTTGTGATTATGAAGTGTTTTTGTACACTCTGTTTTGATACTTTAACAAACGTTTAAGACAATGCAGTGCAGTATTGCAAAAAAAAGAAGCTTACAAAGTGGGGATGCACCAATACCATTTTTTCAGTGTCAAGTACGAGTACCAATATTTTTTATCAGTATATACTAATACCAAGTACCGATATCAGCATTCCGCGGGTAGCGTGCGGCCGGCTTCCTGGTGGCCTGGGAAGCCGACGTCACGCTCCCTTGCGACACTGCAAGGCAGCTTGGCTACCTGCCAAACACGGAGCCGTGGGCAGATCATGACCTGCCGCCCGGCTTCCTGATTGCTCAGAAAGCCAGGCTGCCTCGCAGTGTCACTAGGCAGCATAAAGCCGGCTTCCTAAAAAATTTACATATGGTTCAGAACGGATTAACCTTATTCACATTGAACCTTATGGGAAAATGTGATTCTGTTCGCGACAAAAATCGGTTCGTGACCACGTTCGTAGGGGTCAGAACGGATTAACCTTATTTACATTGAACCTTATGGAAAAATTTGATTCGGTTCATGACCAGAATCGTGGAATGAATTAAGTTCGTGAACCGAGGTACCACTGTATTTTGAATCACCACAAGAGCGGGGAGACCACACCCCTTTATTGAATATACACCAACTAAGAAAAAAAAAACGGCTTTTAAGGTATCATAGAATGCAGAGGTAATATATAGCTGTCTTGCTGCACTCCTTACCGGTATAGGATGTTCCTTGAAATCCTGGTGGGTGCTCGTAGTGACCACGGATGGCGCTGTGAAGATATACAAGTTTGCAAAAGGATGTTACCATTTATTAACCACCTCCCGTCCACCAATCGTTGAAAGACGGCCGGACGGGAGTCTCCTGGATGCGGGTTGGCGTCTTTAGACGTCCTTCGTGCCCGCTCGCGCGCACGAGCGGGAAAGCGCCTGGATTTTACATACAAGCGGTCCGGCGTCTGTGAAGACGCCCGGTCGCTTGTATGATGGAAGTGAAGGTGCCCCCCCCCCCCCCTCCTTACCTCTGGTCGCTGTCCCCGCCGCCGCGATCCTGGGCGTCCATCCATCCCGGGCGATGTGGCTCTGTGCACTAAGAATGGAGGGAGCTCAGTACCCGATCTCCCTCCGCTCTCTCTCCCGGTCTCTAAATGTAGGAAGTGATGTATATTACATCACTTCCGCATTCCTCTGTCACTCTCCGGTACAGAAAACGGAGAGAAGCTGATGAAGCAGATCTGTGCTTCATCAGCTTCTCTGGGGGTCCCTAGGTGAGATTAGGGGTCTTGTAGACCCGTGATGTCTCCATAAAGGGGACCTGTAACTGTAATTTGTTATTACATAGGGTACTTATTAGCACCCTATGTGATAACAATAAAGCTAAGTGTAAGAAAAGTTAAAAAAAAAAATTATCACAAAATAAATAAAAATGTACACACACAAAACAAAAAAAAACACAATTTTTTTTCAAAGTGCCCCACCCCACATAGATACGCAAAAATGCGCTAGATGCGCCTAGACGCAAAAACGGCGATTGCTCCAATTATGCTGCACGTGTTACATATCGCCGCAAACGTCGCTATGAGAGCAATCATTTTAGGGCCATCAATCACTGATAACACTAAACTGATGAGCGGTAAAATCTTTTAAAGCGTCGCCTATGACCAATTTTGGCTATGGTGGGTTTTTTTTGCGATTTCGCGGGCGCGCAATTTTAAGGCTTGACATGTTTGGTGTCTTTTTACCCGACGTGATCCCGCCTTTTATATTTTAACAAAAAAGTGTGTAAAAATAAATGTTTCCTAAAATAATAAAGGGAAAACCATTTTTGTAAAAAAATATTCGGTACTTTTTTGTTATATAGTACAAAATAAAAACCCCACCAAAAGAAAGCTCTATCTGTCCCCCCAAAATGGTATAAAAATCATTTCAGTACAGCATTGCATGACGGAATAAGCGTCAGCCAAAGTACCGCAGAGCTGAATACTGAAAAATGGCCTGGACAGGAAGGGGGTGTAAACACCCCGGTCAGCAAGTGGTTAATGCAGTATTGTCATTCCAGTACTGAAATGACAGTACTCCATTAATAAATGGACTTTTGTTGATCTCACTTAAATGGTGTGCTGGTGACATGCTTTTGCAAACTTATAGAATGCAGAGTGACATATTTTGACATAATAACACAAAAAATCACATATAATCTAATACAGCGTTTGCATTTTACTTGAAAACTCCATGATCCACATGTAGGTAAAACTTATCCACTGATATAAAAAAACAAAGGACATAGAGCCTCCCTGGAACCTGTACAGATACATAGTATCCATATGATCAATGCAATATACTTGTTTAACATCAATTTCCTTATAATATAAATAGTAATTTCAACATTTCTTATATCCATCATAAATTGATCTGTAATTCTGTACTGTGTCCAGCCTTCTACGTGTTTCGCCAAAGCTTCATCAGGAAGTTTGGAGGTAGCATAGAATAAATACCATTTTTAAGATATTAGTGGTGAGTAGATC